ACCATTGAGAGTTCTATGACATGAAATTATAAATTCATTAGGAAAGACTTTCCTTTGAGTAAGGAGCACTGTGGAGTGTCGTGCTCACATGGGATTATCTAGGAAATGTGTCCCTGTGTTCAGCTGCTCAGGCCCTCAGAGGCTATTGCAGCCACTGTCAAAAGGGTCCCCTATATTTACAATCCAGGAGACCTTGGCATCATTCATGTGAATCAGAATCCAAGAGTTGCTGAACCATGGACACCTAAGAAACCACATCATATGTAGCAGGGTCTTGGGTCATAGGTCTCTGCAGGTATCCCCTAATATAACAACACATGAAGCTGCAATGGTGAAGCTGTAGCAGAGACTCCAATATTTTAGAAATACTAAGAATATGGAACATTTGCTGTAGCTGAAGTTTTCCTGTGTCCCACCCAATCCACAGTGGCTCAGACACAAGAAAACACACAGAGGCATATATTAATTAAAACTGCTCAGTCATTATCTCAGGCTAACTACTGACTAGCTCTTACATTTAAACTCAGCCCATTTCTATTAATCTATATATTTTCCATGACTTTACCTGTGTGCCATTACATGCTGCTCCCTGAACGTCCAGTTGGTATCTCCTGACTCAGCCTTCCACTTCCCAGAATTCTCTTTGTCTATTTATCCTGCCTATACTTGCTGCCTGGCTACTGGCCAATCAGCTTTTTATTTATCAACCAATCAGAGCAACACATTCACAGCATGCAAAACATCCCGCAGCAATTTGCTGAGGAAAGCCACAAACAACAAGTTAAGTCAGCCTAAGGGAGAGACCATGTAGGCTGACAATGACATGGCTAGATTTTCCCTCCTCTGTTGGAGCCCATGATAAACCACCATGTGTCCTGGATGACAGATATAAAGGATTAATGATTCTCTATTGGGTTTTAGTCTTAGTTTGCCCCAAATCTTCTTTGCCACTCTTCTGTTTTTCCGTTTTGGAATGGGAATGTTTACTAATCCTTGAGAGCCTAGAAATATGTTTATTTTATAAGCAGGTCACAAGCTAAGAGTCTGTCTTGAGACTCAGAGAAGATTTTGAACTCTGACTCTTAAAAATGTTAGATTGTTGAGAGTTGGAACCTCTTATTAGAAGCAGGTAAATGCTGATATGAGATGCCCATGACCTTTGTGAACCAGAGACAAAATGTTATGGCTTGAATATGAAAGTCTACTTGGATAGGTGTCAAGCTGGTGGTGCTATGTGATAGGTCCTGGACCTAATTGGAGGAAGTACGCTGTGATTGTTCTTCAGTCTATCTTATCTCTGACCCCTCTTCTTTCCCTACTGTTTCCTGTCTGCCATGTTCCTATCTCCATGATGGATGGGGCCATGCAGCCATGGACTAAACCCTCTGATACCGTGAGGTAAGCTAAATCTCTCCACTTGTCACAATGATACAAATGTAACTGATACATCAATATCTAGTTGGGAGGGGATTTTGAGCGGGAAATCTATTGGCATTCAGTTTATTACTGACTGTTTTCCTAGTGTACTGATTGTGGGTCCTCATGCACCAATTTAAGGACAAGGATGGTGAATGATCCTATGAGAAAAACATCTCACACCTTGCTCAAAAGGTTACCATGAGGTTCAAAATGAGACCATGCTTAGCATACAGTAAGCCTCAAGCTACTATTCATTCCTATTTTTAAATTAAAACACAATATCTGAAACCACAAGGCAGAAATTTGATGGGGGAATATCTTTCTGTACACTGCAAATATGTGCTGCTCTGATTGGCTGATAAATAAAGCCGTTTGGCCTATGGCAAGGCAGCTTAGAGGCAGGCAGGAAATTCAAAGAGAGAGACAGGAAGAAGGAGAGGAGATGCCAGAGAGCTGCCCAAGGAGCAACATGTAATGGGATGCAGGTAAAGCCACGGAACATGTGACGATACATAGATTAATAGCTATGTGCTAATTTAAGATATAAGAGCTAAGTAGCAAAAAACTTGAGTCATGGCCATGCAGTTATAATTAATATAAGCCTCTGTGTGTTTACTTGGGGGATGTAAGTAGGAGAGATTTGTTCTGATCACCGGAAGACTGGGACACAGGAAATCTTCCAACTACAGAGATTGGAGATTAGAAAGAAGTAATTGATGATGGAATAGAAGATATAATACAAGGAAGCAAAAAAAAAAAAATAAAAAAAACAGGCTCTGAGTCACCAGCAAGATGGGTGACTACAATCACCCCAGTCCCCAGCATTGATGATCCTGAACTGCCTCAGAGTTTCCTGGCTCCCTTTTCAGACTTTGTTTGGTCATGACAATACACTGCAGTCACCTAATGTAACCTGAGAATATCCCAGCCCTGAAGTAACCAAACACACCAGTGAATTCATTTATTAAATTGCAGTCAACAAAATTTGCTTTTGAGCTCGTATAAGATAAACAACCCCTTCACTGCAAGAAAAAGCACTTTCCTCTTCTGACCTAACTGCACATCTAAGCTCTTCTCTTCCCGCTTCCCCTCTCCTTTTTTACAGGCTCTCCTCCCTATGAGGCCCACATTGGTCTTGAACTCACTAACCTGCCTCACCTCCCAAGTCTTGAGATCACGGGCCTGTGTCAAAATACTCTAGACCTTTTTACTTTCTTTTTACAAAATGCTTTGTCATATCCACCAAAAGCAAGTGTTTAAAAGCAAACTTTGCTAATGACATGGCAGGTAGAAATTTTCAATTTTACTTAGGTTCCTAGATGACTACCAATCAATATTTTTAAAACAAATGGTGCATGCATGCATGTGCATGCGTGTGTGCCCGTGTGTGCGTGCCCGTGTGTTTGTGCGCATGCGTGTGTATACGTGGGGAAATACATTATATATGTGTGTTTGTGGAAGCCAGAGGCAAATCTCAAATGTCCTTCATGAGCCATCTACTTTGTTTTTGATTAACTAAGAAGGCTGGACGGTGAATGAGCTCCAAGAATTTACCTGTCTCTGCCTCCCTACTGCCATCATTCCTGGCTTCTTATGTGGGTTCGGAGGATTGAACTCAGGTCCTCATGCACACAGTGAAAGTCACATTCCAGTTATATGGGCTTGGTGATATTGCACGTCTTCTGAAATAATGCTGAGGTTGGGAAAAGCCTTCAATCAGACACACATACTGACTCTCTTGGGAAACTCGGTAGAGAAAATACTGTGATACAAATTCCATTTAGTGTTTTATTAGAAAATTGGAGTCTCTTAAACATCAACAGATTTCTTCATCAATAAAACAACTTCTACAATATAGCACAATTTCAAAAAGAGACTGTCCGTAAATTGATAACATTCTAATCCCTGAAGGGTGGTGGCTTATCACATAAGTTAAATTTTCCAAGTTTATTATTTAAGTTTTTTTTTCATAAGAAATTAAAATACCTTACTGAGATGTAAAAGCAAAAATCTGTGCTAGTGAGATGTTCGGTAGGTAAACTACCTGCTGCCAGTAATCAGGGACCTAAGTTACATCCTCAAGATTCATAATGGAAAGAGAGAAATGACTCCCAAAGAGTTGTCCTTTGACCTTGCTGTGTGTGGCAGAGACTGAAAGGGGGGGGGGATGTACACAGACACACACAATAAATAAGTTTAAAATGTAATCTATAAGCAAAAACAAGCATTTCATTTCATGCTTTCATATAAGTTCATACTTAAAACTGAGATTTCCAGTGAATTTTTACTGAACTGACAAAGGTGTTTATACTTTGGTTTATTGGTTTGTTTGTTTAAATAGATGGAGAAATGGCTGGATGGCTGGATGGCTGGCTGGCTGGCTGGATGGATGGATGGATGGATGGATGGATGGTGGTTATATCTGTTTTTTGGGTTTTGGGTTTTTAGGGGTTTGGGTTTTTTTTTGTTGTTGTTTTTGTTTTTGTTTTTCGAGACAGGGTTTCTCTGGGTAGCTTTGGAGCCTGTCCTGGAACTCGCTTGTAGCCCAGGCTGGCCTTGAAATCACAGAGATCCGCCTGCCTCTGCCCCCGAGTACTGAGATTAAAGGCATGCGCCACCACCGCCCGGCTATCTGTTGTTTTTTAATACACATACTTACTGTACCTAAGATTTAGTATGTCTGTTCTAACTAAAATACCTCAAATAAGATATAAAAGAATAAAGTTATTCACATAGCTTTAAATGTCAGACAGCTTTTGAGAAAAAAATCCTCAAAATTTCAAGATCTGAGTATTAAATATTAAAGCAGAAATATTAAAGTAAGACTCTATTTGTATAGGAAGAAGGTAAGTATTCAGTAGCATTTGTCTGAAAATTTATATTTGTGAGACATGATACTGATTTTAAAATTGTATAACTGTAAATTATCCATACATAACAATATTTTAATTTATAAATATAGCCTCCATAAGTGGTAGCAACTTTTCTGCCACTTATTAAGAGTACTTTATGTTTAATAGGGAGAGGGAGTGGGGAGGGAGTAGGAGGAGGAAATATGGGGAGAGATGGCTAAGATTAAGGGGCATTTAAGGAGTAGTATGGGGACCTAATAGATAGAAATCTCCCAAAATATAAACATATATGAAGTCGATGTAAATGACATCACCAAATAATGGGGGAGTCAGAGTCCCAACTAGCCATCTCTTGTCACCCAAAGAAGCTTCCAGTATGGGAATTGAGTTATACCTAATTGAGCTGTTGGCCAGAGAGTTCCCATGGAAATCCCCAAACAACCCAGGCCGTTGCCAAAGCTATAGGTTGCTCTCCACAAACTGACAGCAAGGCTCCATTAATGAAGACAACACCCACACAACTCACTGAATGTGGAGATGTTGAGCTGGTGCCTGCACAGAGCCTTCACCCCTGTGTTCCAGCGTCTTTTTACAGGAAGGTACTCTGCATGCTATCAAAAGAGAAACATAAACATGAAGCCAACCACAAACCCTTTATCTACAGTGGTGTACAACCTGCAAGATACACTAAGATAATGGTGGCACATTGCTCGTGGGAGCAAACTACCAATAACTGATCTGACTCAAGGCCCACTCCACAAGATGGAACCCATACTCAACACTGCTTGAGTGACCAAGAACCTGCGACTAGATAGCCCAGGGACCTAAGACAAAACCAAATAATACTAATCTAAAAAAAAAAGACAAAAGAAGAAATGTCGTGATAAAATGATTCCTAATGATATTCTACTATAATCATAGTTCCTTGTTCAACCATCATCAGAGAAGCTCCCCCTGCAGCAGATGGGAACACATATAAAGCCTCACAGCCAGACATTACACAGAGAGTGAGAGGCCTTGGAATATTCAGCCCCAAATGGGATGTCTCCATCAAATCCCTCCCCTCAGAGCTCGGGGAACCCAACAGAAGAGGAGAGGCAATGTTAAGAGCCAGAGGGAATGGAGGACACCAAGAAAACAAGGTCTTCTAATTAAACATGAGCAAAGCTCACATGAACTTGCAGAGACAGAAGCAGCATGCATAGGTCTTATACGGGTCTGCACAAGGTCCTCCGCATTTATTCTATGGCTTTCGGTTTGGTGATTTTTATGGGATTCCTGAGTGTTCGAATGAGTGGGTCTCTGACTCTCGTGCCTTCTCTTGGGCTCTTTTCCTTCTGTTGGCTTGGCTTGTGCAAATTCAATGTGACTGTCTTTGTTTTACCTTGTTATATTTTTATTCTATTATTTTAAAAAATGAATGATTGAATGAATGTAAATCTAGCCACCAGGATAAAGGTTAACAATGGAACTGTCATTTATACCTGCTGGGAGAAGGAATATTAGTTTTCTCTGATGGAATAACACTGGGTATATCAACTACTCTGGGGCATGTTTCATGTTCAGGAGTAGTTGACCAACAAATAATGGACTCAAAAAAATCTTTATGTTTAATAAGAACATGTTTGCATATTAAACAGTAGATACCAATATAGAGACAAGTATTCCATGCGCTGCCTGCAGACATGTATACAGTTCTATATATACAAACATAGTTACTAATAGTTTTATTCTTTGAAAAAGCCTCCAAGTTTCGTTCATGAATTACTAATATTGTCTGTAGGCTTTTCATAAATGGCTACTTCAGTGTTTTATTGAGAAAATACAGATTCAGCATCAAACAGTGCATTTGATGCTGGCTGTAACTAGCTTAACTTTTTTTTTTTCTTAAGGGAATAAGATAGTTTATTCTGGAGCCAAAGTTGAATGACCATGGCCCAGGAACACAGATTTAGGTTATCCCAAATTCCAAGGCAGCTTCATGAAGTTTTACAGAACAAAGTCATAAATCAAGGCAAGTTTAAAATACACTGGTGGGTATATCAAAGAGGTGTTTAGAGCATACAAGGGAAGCTTTTCTATGGGCCCCAGATGTTATCTGATGACATTCTTGGCTTTGGGACTGGTAGGATCTAGTGGTCCCTTAAGTTCATAGATTTCAAAAGATTTTAATCCATTAGTCACAGGAAGTTAGTTATGACACAGAGGTGGGCAAGGAATAGCTGGAAACTACTCATGGGGCTAACAGTAGCCCAAGATAAGGTAATTAGCCTCTGGATCTGCAACATTCCAACCTCATCACCTCACTGCAGTTTTATCAGTCAATCAGTCTCTGTAGACACAGATTCTTTCCAGGAGTTCAAGTTCACAGTTCCCCCTGTTGGTGAAGCATCACAGGTATGTAAGGGGGGCATATATTCCTTTATCTGTTGCCTTTGATAAAACTATGCACTTCATTGTTTTAATTTTAGGTATAGTAATCCTATTATACATCATATACAAATGTTATGTCAGATACAAAGGGTATTTTTAAAAAGTCAGATCAGGACCATGATGGCTAGTAGTTTTTATCTGCTCCAGGAATTTCTTTCTTAAAGCCCTTAACAGCTATTCCTGTCTCCAGAAGACTGATGTCCTGCCCACTAGTCAACCTCACCTATCTAGGAATAAGCCTGATAGCTATGAAAAACCTTATAGCTTAACTTTTCAGGTCAGTCTTTCAGAGAGCATAATTGCACAGTGTCCTGAAAAAATCTCTTGATGGCAACCCAAAAATTACACATTCAGATATTGAGTCCCAGATCTGCCGTGGATTGAGTAACTAGGATTTGGGGCCATGTCTTCCCTTCTCCAAGCAGCTGTAAAATGCAGACAGTGGCTCCTATCTTAAAGGCCTGCTATGATTTAGAGTTTAAGTGATCCCCCGAAGACCACGTGTTGAAGCTGGAAGGCTGCCAGCCTTTGACTCTGTTGGGAGGTAGTGGAACCATTTAGAGATGGAGCCGAGCCTCAGGGAGTTAGGTCACTGGAGATGTGCCCTTGAAGAAACAGAAACCTCAGCTCCTCCTCTCCTTTACTGATGCCCAGCTGCCATGAGACAAATCACCTTGCCTTTCTGTTCCCCCATACTGTAAGGCATAATAAACCTCTTCCGCTTTGAAGTGGATATTCTTGGGCATTTTTTGACATCGGTTGGCGTGACAAGCACTGGATAAGGAATGGAGAGAATGTGACTGTTGCTTGGTAACAAGGCCTATTTAGACTAGTATTGAAGTGGAGAGTGGCTATTGGAATTTGTATTGAGGTGGGGAAAGGCAGCCTGTTCTCTAAAGAACATTCTTGGAAACCCCAAAACCACCTTCCCATTCTCAAGTATGTTAAGCCATTCATTTTTGTCACAGACTCCCTTAGCACCTACATGAGCCTGACTGAGCTGGTCTCTGACTGAAAGGAGTCTGCACTGAAAGTCCCCAACGGCTCACAGAGGAAACAGCAGAGTGACACCTGCCCAAGAGGGAAGCATGGGCTTGTGGGAAAACACAGCACAATGAGCTCATTGTGAACACTGGATAGTGTGGGTGTCTGGGAGGCTCCCAAGGGGAAGTCTTAGCTGAATAGGGAGGAAGTGCCTAGACAGAGGTGGTTAATCATTAGCAGCCTGGCCTTGAAACCAAATCCCTGTCTCCAAAGCCAGTGAACTTCTCACTGTAACACAGCTTCTTTGATTGGACTCATCCACCAAGTATTTTCTTGGCAACTGTTTTATGGAAAAGGTGAATAATTAGAGCTCTTATTTCATGAGAGCAAAGTCAAATAGGACAGCCATACAGGTGACCAATTCAAGACATTGAGAAGCAGAAGCGAGGCAGGATGTGGGGGGAGTACTGAGGATTCTGTGTTGGTGTGCACCTGACTCAGACTCATTCCTCATACTCTGTGTGGGGAGTGGCGAACAGCGGTGTCGCATTCACACATTCCATCCCACAGCTACGGGCACTACTAAGGAAAAAGCTAGGTGTCTATATCAACCACCTTATCTGTAAATTATAGCACACTATCTTTCATTGCTTCTTTTCAGAAGCTGAAAAGAGCTCCTTTAACACCAACAGAAGACAAGAATTTTATATCCCACTATGAAAATATTCCTACCTATTTTACAGTATTTTCTGCTGAAACCCATTTGAAAGAATTTCAACATCTCCACAGCTTTATCGTTGGAATTGGTCTTTGGTCTACTTTTGTGTACTGTCTTTTTCAGATTGTTGACTTCAAACAGTCATTGAGAATACCACTCTGTGCTTTGCAGCAATGTGGGAATTATTTGACCCTTCATGGCTTGGTACAGCTCATCTAAACGACCCACTGAATCCTGATGTCAGTACTCATCAACAGCCGTGCTCCTTGATCAGCTCTGACTCAACTGCAGAATCTTCAATTCAATCCTCCCTGAAACCAGTAAGCATCAAACATATTCAATGGTCATTCTTCTCCCGAAAAATTAAAGAATTTTCATTAAATTATTTTCTATATATGACTTTGACCCATCTTAAAAGATCATGTGTGCTGTCTGATCTGTAGTTTTGAAGTAGCCTTTACCTTTCATATTTATTTCCTCTTTGACTTATAAGATCACTTATCACACTCTCCATGTAAGGTCAAACCTAATAGAAATTACCCTGATGAGGGCTGAATACTGCATTAATCAATGGGCATAACAATAAGTCACTAGGACTTAGTGTAACACTACATCCATTTAATAAAGTAATAGGTTCTCCTTTAGTGCCAGGGAAGTTTCCATTTGCATTAAGTAGTGATTAACACAGATAGCCAACAAGTGTCAAGTTGCAAAGAGTAAGAGAGTGTGGAATGCTTAGCCTTAAATAGGGTATCTATATCACATCCCTTCCTCCCAAGCCTCGGGAATCTTAGAGGATATAGTGGGTAGAAAGAATTTAATAGCCAGAGGCATTTGATGATTACAAAGAAACAGTGTCTTCCGGACAAAACAGGACAGTTGTGCTTATGAATTCATAGCATTTACAGCAGCACACACAAGACTCGCCTAATCTCCAGCCTGACCAAATCCCACCCCAAACCTAGGAGCTCTTGGCAGTTGAAAGCTGCTGGGAGAGAATTTGTTTCCTTTATGAGCTTAGGCCTTGGTAAGCCCACCACACTCCAGTCAACAGCCAAACATCCAAGACTCTAGGGAGAGCACAAACTGAACTTGATGTGTGGGAAAATAAAAGAGGATACAAAGTCAGCTAGAGAGGAAAGATGGATAAATCTGGGAGTCAGGGGAAGAGTGAATAGAGCAAAATGCATTGCACAAAAAACCTCAAATAACTCAAAAAGAAAAAAAAAAACATACTACCTGTGCCACTACCCCAACTTCTGAAATAACTTAACCTTTACTTATTACCTTCCAGCATGTCTATGTTTAAAATGCTATTCCCCAAAATCTATGCATTTTCTGGACCCACGGGAGAAACTAGCCACTTATATCTGAGAAGGCTCTGTATGGATCTCACACTGATGTATTGTCAGCTCAGTTTCGTTTCAGCTTGGTCTCAAAACTCTCTTTTGTATTCCAGGATTTCTATAATCTCATAGAGATCAATAATCCATCTTCCCTCCTTTCCTTCAGTTTTAGAGCAGTTTCCATTTTTATTTCTAATTATTGTCAGGTTACATTTTCAGTTTTTTTAAAGGAGAGCAAAGCAGAGACAGAGAGATAAATATAAAGACCCAAGATGTGATCTTAAAGGAAATCCAGATTATTGTGTTTTACTGTTTCAGGCACAATTCAATTGACCTTTTTCAAATTTGTTGCCATTTTCTTGAATCTCAGGATCCTATCAAAACTAATAGTTTCATGTATTATGGTTATTATAATAAATGTAAGCTTTTTCATCTAAATGCACTAGTATTTGTATAAGAACATAACTCTAATGCTTAAGAACAATGAAGGAAAGTATAGTTGTTGCTTTTTTACTCTTTGAGGGGCCTGCCACCCAGCTCCCAAATAAATACACATGAAGTCTTATTTTTCCTTATAAATGCCCGGCCTTAGCTTAGTTAATTTCTAACCAGCTTTTCTTAACTTATCCCATCTACCTTTTGCCTCTTGGCTTTTACCTTTCTCCATTTCCGTACATCTTTTCTTTCCTTCTTATTCAATGTCTGGCTGTGTAGCTGGGTGGCTGGCCCCTTCTTGTCTCACTCCTTGATATATTTTTCTCCTGAGAGTTCTCCACCTATTTATTCTCTCTGCCTGCCAGCCCCACCTATCCTTTCTCCTGCCTTGCTATTGGCCATCCAGTTCTTTATTAGACCATCAGATGTTTTAGACAGACAAAGCAACACAGCTTCACAGAGTTAAACAAATGCAACATAAAAGAATACAACACATCTTTGTATCATTAAATAAATTTTCCACAGCATAAACAAATGCAACACATCTTTAATATTCTACAACAGGAAAGTTTTTATAACTACAAAAGGTGAAATTACTAGGGACTGTTCTAGCCTCTTTAATATGTAATGTGTTAAGCCTTCATCTATTGACCTGATTACACAATGATCCAAAATGGAAATTCCACAAAAGTTTAAGAAACAAGTCATGTTAATGAAATATTTTATTTATTCTCAAATTATCTAAGTAAGAAAAATAGCTTCAGTTAATGTACATTACACTTGACAGTGGAGTAAGAAAACTTAGAGCGTTGCTTCCACTAATAAAAGAGAGGCAGCGAAAATCAGAAAGTGGGGCTGGCAGTAGAAAGAAGGAAGCATTCATATTTTAAGAAGTAAAGTTAAATTAACTAGGGTAGATTCAATACAAACTTTGAAAAAGATAGGCCAATGGTGACTGTTATCTACCTCTCATATTTTTCTTAGAAACTGTAGATAATAGTACCACTCAGAGAAGTAGTTTAGGAACAAAATAAGAAAGAACAAGTTCCTCTAAACTCAAGAATGAACCAAACTAGGACAATCAGCCATGTGAGCCTGAGATGAGCCGAAAGCTCAACACAGGGATTAACCAGCACAAACAAGGAAGACAGATGCAGACTGAGCAGGGAGGGAAAAGTGCGTCTCAGTAACATCATCAGTGTTTATGGGGCAAACAAATGCCTGCTGTAGAAGAAGCTGGGAAAGAGCTAATTTGGTGTCCCACGAAGACTCCTGAGACATTTATGATCTGAGACATTCATGGGGAAAGTTCTTCTCACCATCTTGTACTCAGCTTGGCAAGGTGTTTAACTCCTCATATTCATTATCACTTGCCCATTTCCAGTGTGCATACTCAAAAAACATACTTCCTCCTCCACGTGAACTAAAATTCTTGTTCTCCTTCAAACGAAACAGCAATCTGCAGTCTGGACAAGTAGCTCATTGGCAGGTCACTCACATAGCGTGAGTACAACTCTAAGTGTGAGCATGTACATGCACACACATGTGCTCTTATACACACACACACACACACACACACACACACACACACACACACGAAGTCGTGCAGCCTCTAGTCTTCCAAGGATGTTTCTTTATGTTCCATGAGGTAAAAACAAATCTGTTGAGTATTTAAACTGTAAAAGAAAAAACTCTCTAAATTTCCCCTTAGCAGCTTTGCAAAACACAAAATGCTTCCTCCAGATGTTTCCCAAGTTTTATCACAGTCAACCCAAGCCAAGGAGGGACCATGGTGTTCTCCAAAGAACAGAAACCTAGCACCGAGTCACCTCAGAAATGCAAAATAGAAGATAATGAAAAGTGTTATCACGACTGAAATTCTGGAGATCTCAGTTGATGTTTTGTTTGGTTTGGTTTTGGTTTGAACAAAAATCTTTCAGAACAAAAGTTAAAGATATTATCTCATCTCTGGGTAAGTTAGTGAGAAGAATGATCTAGTACGTTATTCTTTCTTCCTTAAAACCAATATTGACTTACACTTCCTAGAAAACTAACTACAGAATCACTAACATACACAATTAGACAAAAGTATCTCAGTCCTACCCACTAGATTTAGTATGTGCAATCTATTCACACATTTCTTTCTTCTTAGAGAAGAAAACAAGGTTTAAGGATATGAAGGGCTCCCCTGGAATCCTGCAGCTACCCTGGACAAGGTCTGCTGCATCAGCACTTTGGACACTTCAGCTGTCTTGAGCGTGTACCATCATCGGCTTTCTGTTTCCATGGAGAATAGACTGTAGTAACTTGAGACTGTAACTTAGGCATCTCTGCGGTGAAGTTAACTAGGCTTTCATCTGTCATGTCAAATGCCTCAACTATTCTTCACAGTGGATAATGAATGGAGTCACCTGGATAGCAGAAATGGGTAACTTTATTACCTATTACTCTGCCTCTATCTCCCTGTTGAATATGAATTGACGAAAAGATAGCCAAATAAGATGTTGACATCTCATAGCCAGGTAAACTTTGCAAAATGCAAATTCTGTAACTACTTTCCACTAGCTTTCTTCTGCCTCTAACACTAACATGGGCAGGAAAGACCCATCTTTTACCTAGGTTATAAGACAAGGATGAAAGTCACATAGGGCAGTCATGAAGTTGCATAAATATGTATGAGCTGACCTCAATACCCATGAGAAATCTCATCTAAGATCTGTAGATCTTTCAGCCTTTCCAAGTCCAGATCGGCCAATCTTTAACACATCCAAGATGCTTTTTGGTGAGCCTACCCCAACCAAAAAATGGTGCCCCCAACCAACCAACTTATATTCGTATTGTTAACAAGTTTGAGCTGGTAATTGAGCTAGGCCATTTGGGTCCCAATGGTCTACAGATCTGCCTTGTTGACAAGAAGGCCAAAATACCCAGAAAGGATCATTCTGAACAGAAGCACCTAGAAGGATGTCAGCAGACTTTTCATTACATGAAAGGAAAGTTTGAGAAAGATGAGCTTTCCTGGCTCATGACTGGATAGTATTCACTGAACATGTGAAATAAATTTGAAATTATACTTATTTCATCTTTGGTTTGAAACATGAAATTGGAGAAGTAACTTGAACTCTTGTTTAGGGTCCTTCCTAACCTTTCCCCATTTGTCCCCAGTCTTGCTTAGGTTACATCAAGGCTAGTGAGAAATTGAAAAGCAGCTGGGAGGTGGTGGCATACGCCTTTAATCCTAGCACTCAGGAGGCAGAGGCAGGCTGAACTCTGTGAATTCGAGGCCCGACTGGTCTACAGAGCAAGTTCCAGGACAGGCTCCACAGCTGCACAGAGAAACCCTGTCTAGAAAAAACAAAAAGAAAAAAGAAATTGAGATGCTCTAAGAATAGGAATTTTTCTGTGCTTCTGTGGGCAAAATGAGAAACAGGGCCAGAGAAATATTAACCAATAACTTACTCCCCTACCTACCATAGTTACCAGGCATTATTAGTTTGGTTCCAGGAATGTTCACTCATGTTCTCTGATGGATTGTGCAGCCATCAAAGTCCTGAAAACCTAAAGTGGCATGTAATAGTTTAGAAGACTAGATGGGATCTGCTCATGGTCATAATGTTCTGAATGCCACAGTTTTAGAGACAATTAGGTCAGCCTAATGGCCACCCTGCCAGAAGACCTTAAAGTATTCATAGATCTCCATGGACTCCTGTACGACATTGTTTTGCTTACAGTCATGATCAGTATTTTAATATTTTAAAGCCCATCTTATGCAAGTAAAGTAAAATTAGATACTGGGTGCTGGGGATTATCCATACTTGCCTGGCATGGATAAGACTTCCCTGAAAGTTCTGCCTGTCTAAATAGAGGAAATTCACCAAACTTCTAAACTGTAACTTACAAAAATAATGTGAAGGACTTGAATCAATTTCAACGGAAATCAAGCTGATGAACACATTACTGGAAAGAGAAAACCTGGGTGACATTGACAAGAAGTGGGACATCTCCAGCTTGGAGGCAGCCTGAAGCAGTTTTACAGTGGAATTAACAAGAAGAAATCCAAACATTCAGAACAAGTTGAGCCTGACATTGCGAGAAATACTCATCGTTAGAATATACATCAAAACAATCCAATTTCAAGCATGTGCAAGCAAAATGGCTTTCAAAACCCATCAGAGGAAGGAAGAGCAACTTCACAATCACCAAAAAGGATGCTTCACATGAAAATTCCCATCTTGAAAGAGTAGGAAATTTTATTTCCGGTGAAGAATAAAAACTGTTCTCATTTGATGTTAAAAAGCAGATAAAGTGAGAAAACTTTCTTGTCTGGAAAAGGTTTAAATAAAAAAAAAAAAAACTAGTGCATATGGAGCAAACTCTAAATGATGAAGTTTTGGTCGAGCTCATGAGTAACTGTCATGGTTTGTGTTGGTAACTTGACAAAATCTACAATTACCTGAGAGATGTGCCTCTGGGCATACCTACAAGGGATGATCTTAGCTAGGTTAACCAAAGTTAGAAGACTGGTCTCCACTGTGGGTGAGACCATTCCCATTGCAGGGACCCTGAACTGTACACAGTGAAGAAAGGGAGCTGAGCACACATATTCATTCATTGTCCTCTGCGTCTTGATTACAGATGCGCTGTGACCAGATGTTTCAAACTCTTCCTTCCATCTTGACTTCCTGTCATAGTGGACTGTGCCCTGGAACCGTGAGCAGAGTAAGCCTTTCTTCCTTACTCTAACCCTTTGCTACACATGAGAGATCACTGCATTTGTGGTTCATGAGGAAGACAACATGGCTAGTGAAGGCTTGAAATTGAATATAATTAATAGGTCAGAAAATGGGGCCCCTAGAAAGAGGAATCCAAAGGAGTTTTTGGAAAACTGACTGATACTGCTCAGTTAAAGACAGCTTATCTAGACGAAGACTGCCAAGGTTTCTAATGCGTCTTCAGCTGGCTTGCTTTAAAATTTCTCTTAAAATTCTTAAAGAAACAAAACCAAATGTACCCTATAAAATAGTGACTGGAGAGTTGATGCACTGAAGGACGCCAAATAAGAAAGCTCCAGTACAATGTGACAGGGTGCAGACAGAGGAGAGGCAGAGAGTCAAAGTCCTTACTAAACTGTACTGAGAAAAAGAAATGATGCTGTGTGTGTGTGTGGTGACAAACACCTGTAATCCCAGCATTTGGGGAACTGAGGCAGGAGACTGCCAGGAGTTTAAGGCCATCCTGACATGCACAGAAAATTTATAGGCTTGACAGAACACAGTAAGACCCTATCTCAAGGACAATGACAGACTGACAGATAGACAGGAGAGGGAGGGAGAGAGGGGAGAAGGGGAGGGAAAGAGGAGGAGAGGGAGATGAGAGAAAATATATGGATTTTATCAAGTACTCAATTAGCCATAGAAAAATAGTGGATAATTTTGTTGAAAATATTAATTCTATAAAAAGCTGGGCATTGCAAACACATTTGTGAGAGGTAAGGGATAGCTTAAATATTTTAGAAAGTAACTCTATTTTCCAGAAGTCCTCAAAATGGATCATAGACCTCAATGTAAGCAAATCTATAGGACTTGTAGAAGACGATGAAAGAGAAACTCAGGCTGGTTTGGGGCTTGACAGTCACTTTCACATGGAACAGCAAAGACCAAGAAGAGGGTGTGGCGGCTGACTGGAAGGCGTTTCAGACCCGAGCAGTCAGCAGACAGGGAGACTGCTGCCAGCTTCAGGTGCTGCAACAACAGGAGATGGTGCTGGTGCTGGTGCTGGTGCCAGTGCTGGTGCTGGTGCAGACACAGCCTGTGGCTGTCTTGTGGCCTACATGCCGGAAACCCTCTGCTGAAGCGGCAACACCTTTCATGTGTGGTCCCGGGATTTGCCATGGCTCAGTCTCTTTCGTTTGATAGTTGCTTTCTTGATCTTGTTCCACAGGTAACCTAAATCGCTCCTTGAAATGTGGGCACTCATGGTAATCATGGATATAGTTTTCTGGATCTTACTATGAGTCTGAAAATGTAGTGTTGGTGTCACGGAAATTTACGTTATTTTTAAAGTCATCTCCTTAAAGGTTAAAAACTAACCTTTGGCAAAAATGGGGTGTGGTGATATTGTGTTCCCCAAAATATTGTACACCCTAATAAGCTTATCTGGGGTCAGAGAACAGGATAGCCACTAGATATAGAGACCAGAAAATGGTGGCACTCACACCTTTAATCCTAGTATTCCAGAGGCAGAGATCCCTCTGCATCTCTGTGAGTTCAAAGCCACACTGGAAACAGCCAGGTGTGGTAACAAGAGCCTTAAATCCCAGGAAGTGATGGCAGGAAGCAGAGAGGTATATAAAACATGAGGACGAAGAACTAGAGCCTGGTTAAGCTTTTAGGCTTTTAACAGCAGTCAGCTGAGATCCACACAGATGAGGACTCAGAAGCAGCCAGTCTGAGGAAACAGGAACAGCTGAGGAATTGGCAAGGTGAGGTGGCTGTGGCCTGTTCTGCTTCTCTGATCTTCCAGCATTCACCCCAATACCTGGCTTCAGGTTTGTTTGTATTAACAAGACCATTTAAGATTCATGATACGATGAGGTAATACTAAGGCGGACTTATCTGAAATTAAAATATTCTGCCCTGCAAAAGACAAAAGGGAGAGAGAGAAAAAATAAGAGATTTCATAGCTAGAGAGAGTCTATCCTAATTGTAGAACATTTTTTTTTACTTTTTTGAGAATTTCATAGGTGACTTCTGTATTTCCATCATTTGTACTCATCCTCATTCCACCACCAACTCCCTTCTTGTCCCACACTTCCTGTAAAATTCATGGCCTCTTCTTTAACTATTAAATATATGTAACTTTATTGCAAAAAAAAAAATTTCTACCCTGCAAAAGACAAAAGGGAGAGAGAGAAAAAATAAAAAGAGCAGTCACAGACTTAGAGCAAAAATATGCAAATGCATTTATTTGATAAAGGACTGTTACTTAAAAACATAAAAACCTTAAAACTCAATATAGGAAAATAACCGAATTTAAAATTGGCCAAATTTGACAACTTACCAACAAAAACAGACAAATGGCAAATACATACACAAAAGTAAGTTACGTATCACATGCTTTCAGGGGACTGCAAATGAAGACTTGGTTAATTACATTAAGCCATGCACACCCTTTAGAATGGTCCAAATGTAGGATACTGAGAACATCAAGTGCCACCAGGGATGCAGAGTTACAGGAAGTGACATTGAGGATGGAACATGACAGGTTCAGCCACTTTTTGAGACAACCTGCTGTTGTCTTACAATACTAAACATGTTCTTATAATTAAGCAATCCAACCATTGCTGTCTAATCAAGGGACTTGAAAACATGCCCATATAAAAACTTAAACATGTTTTATTCACGTTTGCCAAAACTTGGAAGCAACCTAGATATCCTTTAGTAGGTCAATAGAGAAAACAGCTATGGGAACTTCAAATAAGGGACTACTATTCTGTGATTTAAAAAAAAAATGAAAGAAACCTAAAGGTCTATATACTTTAGATGCCAAACTCTAACACAGCATTCTGAAAGGGCAAAACTATGGAGATGCTAAAAACAAGGTCAGCAGGTGCCAAAGGTATCAGAGACAGAGACACAAATGGGAACAGAGAGGGTAATTAGGGTAGTGAAAGTGTCCTCATAATACTGTGATGGTGGATACTGGTCGCTGTACATGTGCCTAAGCCCACAGGATGGACACCAACAAAAATGAGCCCTAATGTCAACCAAGGACTCTGGATGATAATAATGTGTCGATACAGGTTTATCATATGCGTCATCTGGGTGAGGTATGTTGATAATGGGAGAAGGTATGAATGTACTCGGACAGGAAACAAAGAGGTATTTTCTTTACCTTGGTCTCAATTTTGCTGTGAACTTAATTCTGCTTCTTTTTTTAAGGTAATCTTACATAACTAATGATCACTAATGTGTCCAATAGGGTATTTAGAAGAAGAAGAAAGGACCACCAGGAAATCCAGAGAGGAGACAGATCACCAATCCCCGCGGAAAAGGTGCTAACTCAAGCTGAGATGGCAGGGCACGAAAGGGCCAGAGCCAGGTTAGCTGCTGATTCAATACATCAGCTGTCAGCACTGTGGAATATGGTGAGACTCCATCAGACCACTTCAATCCCTGGCACACCAGGTACACAGTGCACAAGGTATAACTCGCCCTGATGCCCTTTAAACTGGCAGCCACTCGGGGTGTTCTTTGATTCATTCTTTCCACCGGAAAGGGGAACATGTCTCCCCAGCCATAACACCTACCAGTGGGCTGTAGGAAAACGGCAACAGCAGAGATAAAAGGCGAGTGTCCCAATTATAGACAAGAAATCCATCCAACCTTCTCTGTTAAACACACTTGATGAAAAGAAACACAGAAGTATCTGACTTTCCGAAGCTGGGAAGTTTGGGGAGCACTGGTACCCTTAACTCGGCATTTAGAGTTGATATTCAAAGCACAGCTGCGTCAGATTCTATTCACATCCCCACAACAGCTTCCTGACACCCAGTCATTTCCACTGAGATCCTGGGATGATGATGATGATGATGATGATGATGATGATGATGATGACGACGAAGATGATAATTCTCCTCCTCCTCCTCCTCCTCCTCCTCCTCCTCCTCCTCCTCCTTATGTGTTTAGTGTGATCTTAGTGCTTGGGTGATCAAGGCAACAACAGCAAGAATCAGGAGTCCAGCCTGGACTCAGTAAGAAGAGAGAGGGGAAGGGAAGGAGGAATAAAGGAGAGAGAGGGGAGGGGAGAGGGAGGAAAGGGAAAAGAAGGGATGGAAGAAGAGGAGAGGAAGGAAGAGAAGAAAGAGGAAGGGAGGGGGAAAGGAGAGAAGGGGAGGCAGAGGGGAAGAGAGAAAAGAGAAGAGGAAAGAAAAGGAAATGGGGGAAGAGGATATATACAAGTGTCTATTATTATAAAGTAGTTCATGAATCAAAGGCCTAAAAAAATACATAAAATACACTAATGCTCTCTACTTAAAAATAGTGTATCAGATCTCATGCTGCCCCTGGTCCCCCCATACTTAAAAAACAGAAGGGAGAAAACACCCCCAATGACTGACAACCTATAAGCCTTTGAAATCTGACATGTCCTTAACCAAGCACACCACATTTGAAAACCATAGTAAATACACTCCAACGAACACTCCAATTTCTTTGGCTAGAAATTAAAAGCCCAGTCATAAGAAATGTCAAGAAAGAAACCCCTCACTTTGTTCCTGTGTTTTTTTCAGTCTACAGATCACTTCTGCAACTCACTTTATGGGGGGAGGGAAGTATTTCTAACCACATTCTCCCATCAGCTCTCCACTCACAAAAACCAGCAGAAGGGATGGATGGTCCCCTGCTTTGTCACAGGCTCAGCCTTTAACTCACTAGCCTAGCAATTACTGCACACACCTATTCGAGATGTTTCGATTTATGTTAGCATTTTCCATTCAGAAAAAAAAAATCCGTATGTTCCTATTATTATTATTGTTGTTGTTGTTATGTTTTGTTTTAAAAGGTGATTACATTTCCAATGCCTTGCCTAAGTTTGCAGTACATACTCCAAAGCACAGAGGAAGCGGGGCACAACTAAGTAAAACCGCCAACACACACTAGTGGAGTGACTAATCCTTCTAAAACACAGGTCAAGCGTTACAGCAACGCATTCCTGACAAAA